GGTTGGATATGCCAGGCCGATTTGCCAGGTGTAAAAATTCTGAGAGACTTTGAAACTTGGATGATTCTTAAAGTATTGTACGAATATATCCAGATCCATGAGAATCAGGGGTATCAGTGCAGTTCTCTGGTTCTAATTATTTCCTTGTTTTCACTTTTCGTTCCAATACCACCGAATGATCCTGTTAACGAACCCCATCTACGAAGAGGCTGACCAATGCTTCCTTTCCATCCATCGATTTTGGCAGATTTCCAGGGATGGCCAAGTCTTTCCAACGTGGCTGTTTCCATTCCAGGGAAGGAGCTAGTTAAAGATGTAACAAAGGAAGGAGGAACAGGAGATTAAAATTTTTTTTCGAATCCAAAGCGAAAAAGCTTCGCGTATGGAGAAGAATTCCAGGTGTGTATCGATTATTCTCATCGATCGTCCTCGATCCTGCAGTGAAAATGAAAATTCGTGAACGATTGGCTGGCGAAAACGCGCGAAATTTATTTACGTTGATTTTTTTGAAATATCGCTTCGTGAATTTTATAAATTTTATAAATCATTTTATAAATGGTTAGATTCTTTTTATCTCAAATTAGACCGTGATCGAACTACATTCTCGGCGTTAATTCGAGTTGGACAGTCGTGGCGATAGAAATATTATTTTCAAGGTTTTTGAGTTCAAGCATTTATTGAACAATTATAGATGTATAAGAAGTGATGTGAAAAATAAAAATTGAACGACATTTTATCATGATATTTGCTCTGACAAACCGAGGACGCATCTTGGTAATTGCTCTATTATTAAAATATCGCGTAAAAACAACAATGTAGACTTCAATATTCGACAAATTTTCTTTCTTTGTATGTAAAGGTTCGTAAAATATTAACAGTGACAATGATTCTCAATCATTGCCATTTTTTTTTTACATTCCTTTGTCAATCGACACTATATTCAGTCCAAATATTTATTTGAACCCAAGAGGTATTTTTCCGAATTTCTTATATGTATAAAATTAGCCCTTCTAAAAAAAAATCCTAGCCACGAGCCAGGCCATTGCGAATAGGTAGGTAGATCAATCACATAAACCAAACATAAAATTCTTTTAATTCATCTTATCGTTAGTGTGCCGCGAAATTTTTAAATTATTAAAAGTGTACCGAGATGACGAGAAAAAGGTTGAGAACCACTGTACTAAAACATAAAAGCTTCATACGTGTGTGAAATCATTTCGAGTTAACTAAGAAATTCACCTGGTGCAAATTTTTGAATTATTAAAAGTGTAAGCGTGACGAGAAAAAGGTTGAGAACCACTGTATCAAAACGTAAAAGCTTCATACGTGTGTGAAATCATTTCGAGTTAACCAAGAAATTCACCGAACGGGTGCATATTTTTGAATTATTAAAAGTGTAACAATGACGAGAAAAAGTATTGAGAACCACTGTACTAAAACATTAAAGTATTATACGTATCAATTCGTGTGCGAAATTATTTCGAGCCAAGAAATTCACCGAACAGGTGCAAACTTTTGAATTATTAAACGCGTGACGAGAAAAAGTGTTGAGAACCACTGTACTAAACATAAAAGTATCATACGTTTCAATTCGTGTGCGAAATTATTTCGAGCCAAGAAATTCACCGAACGGGTGCAAACTTTTGAATTATTAAAAGTGTAAGCGTGACGAGAAAAAGTGTTGAGAACCACTGTACCAAAACATAAAAGCTTCATACGTTTCAATTCGTGTGCGAAATCGTTTCGAGTTAGCCAAGAAATTCACCGAGATCGTCTCGGCCTGGGCCGCGAAAGGCGTTAAAATTATCCAAAAATTAAAATTATGCCTATATGCACGAATATTTAAGTTAATGCCCAACACGCACATACGCCTTAAACATCGATAGGGGATGGAGACCAGCCCGGAACGTCCACGATTTTGGATCGAGCCACGATTCCTGACCGCACGATCTCGTCCGTGGTCGCGCGTGGGATCTGCGCTAATGGATTGCCGGCCGACACGCGATAGGAGCGAAGATAAGCGACGAGTATCGCGAAAATCCGAGTGCCTTGGCCGACCACCGAATCGCCTCGCCCATGATTTTCATCGAATTAACGCTTTTCACTTATCCGACCTTTCTAACCTTCATTCCTCGATTTCGATTTTGAGGAATATTCTGGAAGATCTTATTCGTTCAAGCGTTGCAATTCTCGTCCAATTAGTGCGACAATTTAGATTATGCCAGACTTGGTTATTCGTATTGGTTTTCATATTTGTCAGTTTCGTAAATGCTATTGATAAAAAACTCTTAGTACTTGGTCGTTTAGGATACGAGGAAATTGCCTCTGATTGATAGCAATTGTACTTTTATCGAGATAGAGAATGGTCGATTTGGTTGTTTCTTCGTCGAAATCTTTTTGTTGAGAAAAAGGGAGGAAAAAATAGCGTTCTCGCGGCAAAGGTTAAAGTTCTTTCGCAGAATAAAGAAAAGGTTGTAATTACGGGAAATAGGATTCTCGTTCGAGAGGAGCGTTTAAAGGGGATGAGAAAAATCTTTCTCGAGCTTGTGTTTTATAAATATAGTTTCGGGGAATCGAAATAATCCCTATAAACAGCATATTGTAATCCCCCGTTTAATTAGTTCGTTAATTATACAGTGGCAATCAACCACTTAATCTGTTTTTGGGCGGGCACGATTCCATTGGACGGGGCGGCCGGCCACGGTAATAGACGATTAATAATGAAATAATTTAATTAACCGCTCGACAGCTGGTCTCGTTTGGATTGCCCTCGAAAATCTCCTCGCGGTGAGACAATTAATTCGTTCAACCAGCCGCATCCGCCTACAATTTGAACATTTTCCAAGAACCAACAGCCTCGCAAATTTTTCCCCTACAATTTTTGAACAAGATTTCGACAAGAACCGTTTTAACATCAATTTAACGTAAATTTGCGCGTTTCCTTATTTTCCAATTTTTTTGGAAAATACAGTCGCGTAACGAAAGTATTTTGATCGTGTGAACGATACGACGAGACGAAAGAGACTTCCAATCGTACGAGAGAAGAATTTCTCCGCCCTCCACGTGCCCGTTCTTTCGAATATTTCCGCTTATTTTCCTCCCCCCCCTAATTCTTGCAAACTGGCGTCCGCGTCGATTGGCCGAGCACCCGTCCGGATTAAGAACACGCGGTTGTGTCCCTTAAAAAAAAAAAAGAATAAAGGAAAAGGGAAAAGGACTCGTGATCACCGAGCTGCGTGAAATGAGCATTCCCATTGGCTGGAAAGAGGGAGCCCCCCCCCCCCCCACCCAGGCTCGTTGCCAGGCAAAATAATTCGGTGACCTCGACGGTGGAATAATCCTTGGTGTCATGGCGAGGGGTGAGGGAGAGAAGGAAGAACACGAGGGGCACGCAAAAACGTATAAAAGAGAGGATTATAACGAGGCCAGGCCAGGTTACGAAATTGTTTCGTTAATAAAACTGAGGGAGAGGGGTGTGCACCCCTTTCGCCACGCGACGATCATTGTTGCCGCCATCAGGCCTCTCCGAGGAGGAGTTTGTTGGAACGTTTCATAATAGCTGACCGGTTTTTTCATCTTCTTAATGCCTCGCTGGCAACTCGCCCCGCCGAGGCCCCTCTCAAAGGAAATAAACCGTCTTTGATGCTCGTAATTGAATTTGACGGGTATCGAGCCGTCTTTGGAAAAAAAAAAAAAAGAAAAGAAAAAATTGTAATTCGTCAAATAAATTCGCAAACCTGTTACAAAGCTTGTCTTTGAATTACCGCGCTTTCTCGAGGATCTTGCATTCGTGTTTACTTATTTTACTTAGTTTACAGTTACAGCTCGAGATCTATTTATTATTAGAAAATTTTTCAGTAGCTGTTGGTTACTTTGTTCAATTTTTCCATCTCGATTTCCCTCCCACTTATCGTTCGCTTACTCTACCAAAATTAACCTCCAAAATCCCAACATCGATAGCGGAAGGAGGCGATTAGCCGAGCGGAACGGGAATGTCTTGGGTCGTCGACCAAGACGCCCACCCACTGGTCCCCGCCAGCAATTTACTTTCCGCAATAGTCGCAGTGATGACGTCGCGCGTCCATTGTTCACACACGCTATTAGGCTTTCGACTATGTCTCCTTGTGCAAGCGTCATCCTTATCGGCGGTGCAGAGGTTGGGGGCCTCGTTTGTGCGGGGGCACAATGAGGGAAACGCGGCAGCCAAGTTGGTCTTCGATACGGATTGCGGTGGCATTGATGGTAACGAGCCATTAGGGGAGGCGTTAAACGTATCTATGGTGAATCCACTGCTCGCTCAGCCGAGAAACGCCAAGACGACGACGAGGAGGAATAGATTTGTATACCCTCTCGCCTCGCTGAGCTCTCCTTATATCCTTTTCTTCCTTCTTCGCGCTTTTTTTTTTTTGTTAGAAAATTTTGCGAGGTGTTCTGTATGGCAACTCTTTTGATAATATTTTTTTCTCAGCGAAGAAAATTTTTGTACGTTATGGATAAAGAAATATTCACTCGTTTACGAAATTAATTCTCTTCTCGTTACACACGCGTATCCCCTATCCTCCGCACGTTCGAAATAGGACGATCCCGTTCCACGGGGAAAAAAGAAAAAAAAAAAAAAAAAAAGAAAAGCATCGTTGAACAGCGGGCGCAATGAGCGGTTACGAATAGCGAGCAACAGGGTCAATCCCTGCCAGATTACTTTTCAAGTGTCTCAATAGGACTAGTTTAGCCGACTGCTTACAGCTTGTTACCGGCGGTGAATGCCAGCGCCGCGCCGCCGCGACAAAACGACACCCGTGCACAAAGCCGAACTCGGCATGAAAAGAGCCAGTTCAGGCCCCATTCACCGTTGCGCACGTTGCCGTTTATTAAGTCGGTTAAGTAGACACGCATCGTCACTTCTCTCTTTCTTTCTTTCTTTCTTTTTCAACCTGCCCCATTATATCGCTCGGGCGTGGAATTTTTCACGCGGCCACCATGATGATGTTTCTCTGTTCCAGTGTAGTTACGATTTACGGCGCAAGAGGGACGGACAGAGCGCTCGCGAGAGGAAGAGAGAGGAAAAGGCACAGCGGGAAGGACAGGGACAGTGTAAATCGGTGGCGTCGTGAGACAGGTATTCGATGTTAGAGTTTTTGCACTTTCTTAAGCGATCAAACTACTTGTCCTATTATACGAATTCTTGTTATATATCGTGTATACAGTGTTTCTTTCTTTTTTTTTTTTTTTTAGAGATAAACAAATAAATAATTTACATAATCTCGGTGAATTTATTATGCAAAATAATTAACAATTTATTTCGATAAAAAGTACCGATCTTTTTGAACACTTTTTTTGAACACGACGCGGTTCATCAACAGTAACAGGGGAAAGGGAGGATGACGTTTTAGTTGGAAAAAAAATTTGGTGGCTTGGACATGAGCATCGTTTTGACATGACGTCGCGTTATCGTAGGAATCACGAGGCTGCGTGCCGCGATCAGGAGATACGTGAGACCATAAAGCTTGTGTTATCTTAGTGTTATTGCATATGACGGACGTGCTCCTGGTGCGCCGCAACTGCAGCGGGCGGATATCGTCCGAGTGGACGACAGCAAGTTACGAGACACTGATAAACAAAGATACGGTCCTCTAATTGAAAGCATGCAACTACTGTGCTTCAAGGTTTTGGGGGTATTCGGGGACCAAGCTTACTTTATAGGATTTTTGTGAACAGAGGAATAATTCTATAAATCTGCTTATTATTTCATGGAGGGAAAATTGTATATGATGTTTTTGGTATATATAATTTGTTAATAGTGACAAGATTTTTGAGTTACAACGTGTAGAGGTCGGTTTTTCGACGATATTTCCATTCGTCGCCACTAGATGTCTCATTGCTCGTCACCTTTCTCGCTAGTGGCCATTCTTACCTCGATTTTCTGAAAAATGATTTACAATCTTTCATCCTCTAACAATTAAGATTATTACTATCGATCGAAGAGGAAGCCTTAATCTTCAGAAACGACTCGTATACTCAGCAAATAGAAATAAAAAGAAAACTTGGGCTCAAATAGATTTCTGCCTATATAATATAAATTATTTAGAACAATATTTATCGATAATATCTGACTAGCAAAACGCGTTTCTTTTATATTCGATTTTTCTAATTGCCACTAATAGAGAACAAGGAGAAGAAACAATGATAAAAAATATCAAGAAGCACGACGAGCTAATTAATTTCTGTCTATGGCACGAGTCTTGCCAACTTGCCAACATCGAACAGTAATTATCTCGGCAAGGACGTTATCTGTTTTCGTACACCATTAATGCACCGCATTTCAAAGCTAGCGACAGTTTCAATGCGAACAAGCGGATGGACGAATGGCCATTAGGCCGGTGCACAGATGGCCAAGCCACGTTAAAGGATAATCTCGTTGATTTTGCAAGATAGCGAGTAGCCCCGCAGATTGGCCGGCATAAGGACTCTATTGGATCAGCGGTACCCTTTATCTCGCCATGCTTTCAAGTATATCCGCGGGACAATGTCCCAACTGGTACTGTTTTTAAAGAGTTTAGCAAGAAATTGGCTGCCGGGCAAAGTATTATTAACTTTTGTTCCTATTGCTCTCGTTTCGTTGAACCGATGTGTCGATGGAATACAAACACAACGCATTTTTTGTGGGCGACGTTTGTGCATTTATGAAAAAAATTTTGAATATATAATTACGAATGATACGTAAAAAAGACACGAAGCAATCAGAGTATGATACACGATTTTTAAAAAATAAGAGTTCCATTTTTTCAATCGTATTCGTATAAATTAAATGATTTTATGCAATGAGATTTTACTTTGTAAAGATCCTTTTTACGAAATATTAATCTCATTAATAATAAGGTATAAAATTGTACGTGTGGATTAATGTACTGGTGACGCGATACTAGCGCCACGTGACTGTTAACTAGTCCATCCATTATTTTCTTTTATCGTTCGTGTATATTTTTCTATTAAATCTTGATAAAAATCTTTTTCATTCAATCTTTTCACAATTCAATAAGATACTTTTCCAATAGTAGTTAAGCATCAAAAATAGTAATCGGCGATAAAATTTTTATTCGCACATGCACGAAATCAGGTCACGAAAATCAAAGATCAGAGAGACGACAAAGCAAAAGGGAAAAAAGAAGAAAAAAAAAAAAAAAGAATCGTAAAAAAAAAAAATTCCACTCTCTATTGGGTTTAATCGGGTTTAATTGAGTTCCATCGAATTCCAATTGCTTGCGTTTAACTTTTCAAACGGGGCGATCCGTGCAATACCATATACGCTGCATGGTTCCCAATCTTACGCCGGAACCGGAAAAATTGGAAATATTCGTCGGTGTATCTAAATTCGCGGCCGTTTCCATTATGAGAGAAAGGGAAAAAGAAAAAGAAAGGGGGAGAAGAGGGAGAAAAATGGAAGGAAAAGAGGAATGGAGTTGTGGTGGAACATTTGTTCCAAGAATGGAGAATCGGTAGAGCAGAGGGAAAAAGGAAGAAAGACGGTAAAAAATCTCGCCCTTCGGCTTTTATGGAGCTTAATTCGCTGCCATTAAGTTTTAATTGGCCGCGTTTAATCGATCCACCGTTTTAATGTCTCTTGTAACCGCCCGGAATATATACTGCTTCGCGGTAACCATAAACCCATATATCGCAACAGTGGCTGCTATCAATTTGTATTCCTATAAAACCGTTTTACCAACGACTTTTTCATCCTCCCCCTTGATGGATTTCAAATTCTTCTGTATATATATCTGAAAACTGTCACAAAACTTGTACGTGTTTTTAGGTTAGCTTTCTCATTTCATTTTCTATCAAAAGTTTGTAAAATTCGTGAAAGTGAAAATATTAGCGTATTGCGAGGTTATAAAAGTAAATTAATCGTCTAATACGTTACGTGTATTAAATCAAGATGAGTTAGAACGGCCATTCTTCGTAAAAGTGAAACTCTTATCTCACACGGTTTTTATTATGGTCAACTGTTATTTGTCATTTTTATTAACGATCTACCTTTCAACGAGGTTCTATTTTGCTGGTGGCTAGACTAGCAGAAATGTTTACGCATTTACGAAAAATTTTAACAGCACGGGATGCAAATGCGATTATGCAAAACAACACGAATTGAAACAAAATGCGTATTATTTAAAGAGTGGAAAAATCTTTATTTTCAATTCCACCTAAATGTTTTGTTACAAAAATAAATGATTTCAACGATTACGCACTTTATTTATATATAAATACTTTTCAATCTATGCGATACAACAAATCTAGTAAATTGATTTCGATCGAATTCCATCTCCATCTACCATCGATACACGATTCACTTTTATCAAACAAACAAACACACGAATCTCTCTGTCTAAACAGAACGTTAGAAACTCTCGTCATCTTCTGAACAACGAACATTACGTACACCATCTTCAAACATCCAGAGATCGCAATGCAATCAACGATACCAAAATACTCGAGACACCATCTTTTACGTGCAAATACCTGCATGCTCCCCATCATCGCGTCTCGATGAAGCGAGGCACGAATAACGGACGCGACATTGCACTGCGGTGGCCATTTCTAAGGCTCGAGTCACGGAGAAACACGAGTCGCGTGGACGCGTGACGAGAGAGAAACAAATAGGAGGCACGATCTCTCGCGCCACCTGTCAACCCGCTGGTGGCGCCGCGGTACGTCCACATTGCTCACGAGACGCAAGGCCCCATCATACCACGAGACGCGGCCGCGTGTGTTCGCCGTGCATGCCGTTCGTCACCGTTCGAGATGTCGACGTCGAATGCCGGGCGAGGTTTCAACGCTGCGCAACGGCCAGGATTCTCGTCGAACGTGGAAAGGCCACGATTATATTTCGGGACGCGGGTTCGTGGATTTGTATACACGTATGACGCGGTCAGGTTAACCGCAGACCGCGATGCCGTGCGTTCGCGAATTACGTTTCCGGTGGAGAAAGTAATTAAGCCTGCTAGGTGTTTTGTTTCGTGGATGAACGATTGTGCTGCCGTGAAGACAGAGTTATTCTAATCGTTCATAATACGATAATATCCCGTAACAACGATCGAGGACCGTTCTTTCATTTCTTTAGAAATTGACTGATTACAAGTTAGACTATAGTTACTTTTTTAAATCTTAACGATTACGATTCAAATTCAATAGATTTATCAGTTGGTTTCATAGGGATCAACAAACACGGCGAACAATTTGCATTAGAATAGTCGAGGGACCGATTAAGAGACACTGTTTCTATTGTACAGAATTTGGGATGACGAAATTTGAGAATGTTAGAGGACCGAATGACGCTAATTCGAGCAATTGTCGAATGCCCGTCCAGTCTTTCCATCGAGCCAAACGTTCCTGTCTCGACGTGCGTGGATTAGCCGCCCGATCGTCGGATTAAAATTCCAAATTTCTCTCAGTTTGGCCCCAATAATCCTTACTTTCGTTGCTCTTTCGCCGCACGTGTGTGTACACACGTCTCGGGAGTGGATATCGCGCACGTACCTCGATGTGTACACACAGGAACGTAGCCGAAAACACAGAGAGAGAGAGAGAGAGGCGCGACGAGGAGGACGACTTTCGGGCAGAGGAGAGCAGATACGGCGTAGCACACGTAGGGAGAGAGAGGGTACACAGAGGAGTAGTACGGCCGACTCTGAAGCATAGTCTCAACTCGACTCGAGCGGCTGAATCGATCCGCGAGCCTTCCCCTGCACAATCTCTCTCTCTTGCTCCCTGCGGCCCTAGAGCCAACCATCCCTCTTCCTCTTTCTCCTCTCTCGATCTCCGTCCCTTTTCGAACGATCGCCTTCTCCCTCCTTCTTCCGACCACTCTTGCTACACGTCTTCCTCCCCGTCGCTGCTTCGACTCCCCCTCATCCCAACTCGACCGACCTGGTCACGCGAACCTTTAAAAAAACGCCCGGTTCCCTCGCGCGAATTTCTTCCTTGCAGAGAGATTACGAGATGACCTCTTTCTTGAGATTATCGGCTCTTGGTGTCGTGTTTAGTGATCCGTGATTTAACCTTTTTTTTTTTTTTTCTTTTTATTTTTGGAACGTGATGAGAAGTTGTTGTATTACCGGCGATTAC